TAAGGTTGAATAAAGTATTCGAGGGACATGGATCACTTCCTGGAAATGTTCGTATACCAGCATTTTATGGTACATATGCTGATTATATGATAATTGTAAGTTTTAAATCTATATATTCTGTTTAATATATTTTATTTAAAGCAATGATACATTTAACTATTAATTAATTAATTAATTAATTAATTAATTTTATTTATTATTAAAGTCAATTTATGCACTTATAGCTACTACACGTGGCGCTTTACATTCACTTTATCCAGCATTTATATTGACCATTACCAATGTATCACCTTATTTGAAGAACCTATCTGTTGTATCATCTACAAAATTAGTTCAATTATTTTCTTCGTTTACAGCACCAGGATTTTTATTATCTGAAGAAGGAAACCATCGGTTAGTCGAGTATATGTTGGAAGCTTTTAATAATATTATTCAACATCAATATGCTGGTATGTTTTATTAAATAATAATAATAGTAATAGTAATAGTAATATTATTATTATACGATTATAATGAACTATTATTCCCATTACTATACTTTATACATATAGATAACCCTAACCTTGTTTATGCTATTGTACGTAATCCCAAGAAATTTGAAGAGCTGTCACAATTTACACTTGCAAGAGGTCTAACGGAAATTAAAAAGGTTCAACTTGCAAAAGAACAACGTAAAAAGCAATCAAAAAACATTCCTAATACTGGTGATGGTAAATCAACGGATTCAACAGCAGCAGCAGCAGATAATAGAGGAGATCAAAGGGACGAAATAACACGACAATCTTTATTTTCATCAAATAATAATAATAATAATAATAATAATAATAATAATAATAATAATAATAATTTTAATAGTAATAATTTTAATAGTAATAGTGATGATATCTCATCAAGTTCTAGAAATGATGATGATTTTGATGAAACAGTAAATGAGAAAACAACAATGTTACGAATCTCTTCCCAATTTGATAATAATCAATCAGAAATGATAGAATATGAAGAGGGTCCAATGCCACCACTTTCTGAAAAGGCCCGTGGTAAACTACCAGAAGGTGTCACTGTTCCTCTTAGTCGACATCATAGCAATAATAGAACTAGTAATAATAGAACTAGTAATAATAATAATAGAAGTAGCAACAACAACAGCAGCAGCAACAACAGCAACAACAACAACAACAACAGCAGCAGCAACAACACCAACACCAACACCAATACTAACATTAATATTAATGGCAATGGCAATAATAATAGCAATAATAATAATGATGTCATAGTAGTTCCTTTCTCAGTTGGAAAGTCGGGATTTGTCCCTACTGAAGATTGGGTTTCATCTTGGCATTCTAATCTGCAAATTGGAACAATTTTACTTTTATTAAGCGAGCTGATACCCAAAGTTCAATCAATGTGCATGACACAATCAATCACAACAGATCAAGAGGTTTTAGAATATTTAAAGTCAGTAACACTTGTTGGTATCTTACCACTACCCCAACCCATATTAATTCGACAATTTCTATGGTCAGAAGCTAGTGTAGTATGGTTTTCGAGTATTTTATGGGGCCAAATTTATTTAGCTTCATCAAATCATCTAGGTGTTTTCAATGGAAGTTTGAATTTTCTAATATAATATATATATATACACTCACTAGACAAAAGTCGGGGGCATTTTTAAACAAAAATTGCGCAAAAACACACACAATAAAATCACAAATAACTTGTATTATTTTGTAGCTTGGGTTCTCAAAATTTTGCATGTAAAATTTAAAACTTCTATTTTGCCTAAGAAAATAACAGTTAAAAAAATAAAAGATCCGACTAAAAAAATTTTCCAAAAATTTTTCTGGCAAAAAAAAATTTAATTGAACAAAATCGTATTTAATAACCAAGCTCGAATTTTTGGCATGTGATAACGAACGTCTTGAATAAGTAAAGTATCTATGTTGTTTTGAATTTTTTTGTAAACAAACATCATTTTTAATAAATTTTTGAACAATTCCTTTGAAAAATTTTAAACTCAAAATGTCAACCTTAAGTGAAAGACAATGTGGTGAAATCATCGGTCTATATGAAAATAATGTACCAAACCACAAAATAACTAAAATTATTGGTGTTAATAGGAAAACAGTGACTCGTACTATTCAAAATTACATTGATAGAAAAGATCTCATTACAAAAAATCGAAGTGGCCGTCCTAAATTAATCAATGATGAAAATAAAAAAATACTGAAAAAACTTGTAAAGCAAAACAATCGAAAATCTGCTGAACAAATTAAAAACAAATTTAATGAAAAACAAGTATCAATGTTCCAACTAGGAGAATTAGAAGGACTTTACACGAATTAAATGTTTTTTCTCGCGTTCCTACGGCAAAGCCACTACTAAACAATAAACAAAGAATAAATCGATTAAATTGAACAGTTAGGAAATGGAGGTCGGTTGTTTGGAGTGATGAAAGTAGATTTACGATATATAAAAATGATGGTCCAGGACTTGTTTGGAGATCCCCTGGTACCAGATTTAATATTGAAAACAAGACTCCTCATATCAGCCGATTTGGTTTTTTGGGCCTTTTTTCAAACCTTATGTCTTATTGTGTCTCAATGTTAAACACGAGTATTTTTAATGTGTAAACTGGTCGGTAGAATGATAATTACCCTAAAAAAAATTATTTGCTCCGCTAAAAAAACTAATTTACTATCCATCAACCCGTCAAACCAATGGGTTTTTACTAGTATAAAGTACTCATAATGTTATGATCATGCCGTACTGAATTTTGGGGATCAAACAAAATCAGCGCATATGTACTGTAAAATTCGGGGGTGGTGGTTTGATGATGTGGGGTTGTTTTTCGGGAAAAGGTCTAGGTCCATTGGTGAAAGTAGATGGCAATTTAAATATCCTAGGGTACATAAAAATACTAGAAGATAATTTGCTACCTCTGATTGAGAATGATTTTAATAGGATGGGATATTTATATCAAGGTGATAACGCTTCGGTTCATACTGCAAGGGTTGTAAAAAAATTGGTATTCAATGAACAGAGTTAATGTTTTGTCTAATTGGCCAAGTCAGTCCCCTAACTTGAATCCAATTGAGCATTTATGGTCAGAGCTGGAGAGAAGAATTAGAAAACGTCCAAAAAATATGGCAAGTATTAATGAGTTGGAGTCTGCATTACAAGAAGAATGGAGTAAAATTACAAATGATATCCTAATTAAATTGATTGAGAGTATGCCAAGGAGAGTTGAAGCAGTCATTGAAAATAATGGATGGCCAACAAGATATTAATATTATGATTATTATGTGCACTTTTCATTGGTTTATTTTTTTATTTAATTCTTATTAAGTATGTTTTTGCGCGCCCGACTGTTGTCTAGTGAGTGTATATAGTGTATATATATTAAAAAGAAATAAGTTATAATTAATTTCTAATAGAAATTTGCTAAACATGTTTTTAAAACATGATCACATTTTCAATTCTTCCGTCAAAATTTTATACCAATATTGAATTGTGTGATGTAGTAAAACTATAAAATAAAATAAATAATAATTCAATCTTAAATCTTTATTTAATTCTTAACAGAACATGCGCAATATAAATTTGAACTACATGATCTTGTTGTGCGTGGATTCGTGAATTTGAAATTTGGAATTTTACGCGCGTGAAAATCAAATTAGCCGATTCGGAAAAATACTTTAGAAAAATAAAAATCAATATATTTCATCTTTCGTTCTGAAAATACTTTATAAAAAATATTTTTGATGACAGAACCAACACAAAGCTTTTTTCAAAAAAAAAAATCGTAGAAAAGACGTTTGCAAAGTGTACAGGGACTCAAATGAGCAAGTTTATCAAAAAATACATGCATATTCGTTTGTTAATTCAACTTCTCTTTACTTCACCTCCATCACTCCTTCTGATGGTAATAATGATGGTGGTGGTGGTGGAATTGATGCTTACGAAGAGGAAGACGTGGAAAGTGGCCGCCAAAATGATAATCTATACCTTAAATTGTTGGATTAATCCTTTTATTAAACAAGAAGTTGTAAGGAAACTGGCCTACAGTGAGGATCATCTATACTCAAAAGTTAAAATTTTTGAAATATTATGTGATCCACACATTGGATTTTAAAAACCCACCGCCATTCAATTCAGCTTTAAAAGTGGATTCTATTAATCTAAAAAAAAAATTTGCCTCGAATTTTCTTTTCATAGATTTTTTAAATTTAAATTTGAAAGTTATGCTCAGAAGTGCAACAATAATTTTCGTGTTGTATATAATATTTTGAATCTCACAACCAAATTTGGTAATGATTTCCTTTTAATGTAATATGTTCGTTAAACTTTTTTGTTGTAAAGAACTTTTATTTATTAATAAAAAGGAAATAAATAAATCAAATGTATGTTGTAGAAAATATTCTATGAAAAAAAAAAACTTGTTACACGAAATTTACTTAGTCTCAATTTCTTAAATGTATAGCAAAATTCGGAATTTTCAAAATGCTAAGGCTCTGCCAATTTTCAGTTTAAGAAAAAACCAGCCGATAAGTTTTGAAGCTTGAGTCATGAACAATAAAACTTGTTGGTTAAATTTTTTAAAATTATATAATTTTTTTTTGTTTTAGTATTTTGAAGTTGACCAATTGTTACTATAAGCAATTAATGATTAACGTAAATCAATTAGCAATTGAAAATGTTCAAGAGGTACGCCTTTTCTTCTTGCACATTTGTCAGACGAGTTCCTTGGCGAGAACAATAATAATTTATTAACTAATTTTTCAGGCCAGTTCAAATTCGGCATTTCCATTGTTTGTTTTTTGTTCAGAGCTAGTGATACATATATAACGATTAGCATCAATTATTTAATTACAAAAAAAAATTTATTTATTTAAAAAAATAACAATAAGCAAGTCTTTAAAAAAAAAAAAGTTGCAAAAAAAGAAAAAATCGCATCAAAATTTTTTTAAAAAATATATGTCAGCAATGCATAAATATTTTTTTTAACTCTTTTTTGTGCACATTCCATATGGTCTAACATCAGTATCTCTAGGTGAAATCCAAAATTCTCCACAATTAGTGTCGGCAGCAGAAAGAATCGATAAGGTTGCAGGATTTACTCGATTTTGAAATACGACACGATATTCAGCACCATTATGAACAAATTTTTCGGCATAACGAACTGCAACATTGATATCTGGTGTAGAATAAATTCCTGTACTATAGGGGAAATTCTTCCCTGCACTATGTTCATAAGCATCTTGTGCCATGGTTTTACCGTTAAAGGTTCCAGTTCCATGATAACTGACAGGCCATTCGTCAGCCTCAGATGCGTATCTGAATTTATGTGTCACCTAATGATGTTAATAAGAATTGTTTATTATTATTACTGTTTATTATTGTTATATTATTATTATTATTATTATTATTATTTAAAAAATAAAATCTAGTACTTACACCACCTAACCATTTATTATCTTCGTATTTATTGGTCACTTGAAGTGCGATTCTATTCCAACCACATGGACGTCTATATTGGAAATTTCCACGCATAAACGTAAGCCCAGTGTCACGAACCGATGTAAAATCAAAATCAAACTTAGGATCTAAAGCATCCTCTGGAATAATATAACTGATGGCTCCTCCTCCTCTTAGTCTCAAAACAAGATGAAGTGTAGAATCTTTCATGATATTATAATCACTAAGAGTACGTCCGTCCTCTAATTGTTTGCCAGCAAAAATCATTCTCTGTTGATCTGATGGGATTCCTTGAGAATTTTGAATTTGACGTTTCAATTTTTCAATTGTTGTTCCTGGCGTGACCGTAAATTTTATAGACTTTCCAGTTAAAACTCTAACAATAATTTGCATTCCATTTGGAGGAGCAGGAATGTCTTCCTCGTCATCAGCATCCATAAGGTTATCAATCTTAAAATCTGGTTTTACGGCTAAATCATTCAAATCAGTTGAGACCAAACCGCCTACCTAGAGTTAGAAATTATTATATAAATAAAAATTTGCGTTATTATGCTGATATCGTACTAAATATCACTAAATTGGGTTTGACTATCGGTATTTAATAGTGTTATATCAACTTGTATAATTAAACAATTGCTCCAATCCAAACACCTACCAATGAAGATTTGTGTAAAGCATCATTATCTAAATTTTTAAATAAAATGCCGCTACTTTTATTTTTTAAATATTCGTCGTGAGAAACGACTGTTTGATTGGTTATAATCGAAAGTGCTGATGCAAGGAGTTCTGCATTTCTGTTAACCATCTTTGTAAAGATATTGTAAAGAACAAACGTATAATGATAATTATTATTATTTCATTCAATGCTTATTTGGAAAGCAATGCTTTATTCACCTTTTAATATTAAAAAAAACTGTAATTCTTTATTATCGTCAAGAGTGAGACTATACAATAAGATAAGTATGCAATATTAATTGACTAAATAAAATATATAAATATCTCATGTATTTTTATTTAATAAATAAATTTAAGGTTTTAACGTACGATAATTTTCTTTATAAAAAATTTTTGAAGAGAAAAGGGAGAGAGAGAGGTAACAATAAAAAATTTTTAGAGTACCGTTTATATATAAAAATCTTTGAATGACGTTATTATGTACATATTTATTAATATTTTTCTAAAAAAATAATCACGGAATCAAATTTAATAGTGTTCCGTTTTTTTAAAATAATTATAATATTACTACATTATTGGACAAATTATTACCATAACAAAACATTCATTTTAAAATTTGGAAAAGAACACAAAATGAACATTGGTTTAGTATTGGTGTTGTCGACTGTTATTATTATTAATCAGATCGTGTGATTTCCCGCTCGTGTAACCAAAAAACAAGTTTTATCGTTTTATTAAAATTCTATTATATTATTATTATCAAATAATTTATGATTTAATACAAGAGCCCAATACAGGCGTTGTAGATGAAGTGGAATCATTTGTTGTTTCATGATGATGTGAATCCATATGATTATGTGAACCCTTATGACTACTAGATTCTATTAAATTTGGATTATTATTGTGGTGATGGTGGCCGTGATTGTGATTATGATGATTATGATTATGATTATGATTATGATTATGATTATGATGATTATGATTATGATTGTGATTGTGATTATGATTGTGATTATGATGAGAAGAAGATGATGGTTTAGCTCTATTATGTTGTAAATGTGATTTAACCAAATGACCTGCTGCCAATGCAGAGCATAAACTCAATTCACCAGCCATAACAGCTGCACATATAATTCTTGCTAATTTTTGTGCATTTTTTCCAGGTGTAGTTGGATGTGCACCTTTTACACCCAGCATTTCTAACATTGAACTTTGTGCTTCTAGTATAGTACCACCTCCCAATGTGCCAACTTCTATCGAAGGCATAGTACAAGTTAAATGTAAGTCTTGTCCATTGTTAATTCTAAAAAAATGTATAATTATATAAAATAAAATGTCATGATGAAATTGTTATTATATCATGATATGAATTATTATATAAAAATTATACATACGATTTCATCATTGTTATACAATTGGAACTTTCAACATTTTGTGCAGGATCTTGACCAGTCGCGATATAGATGGCAGTCAAAATATTAGCAGCGTGAGCATTAAAACCACCAATACTACCAGCCATCGCAGATCCAATCAAATTCTTGGAAGTGTTTAAATCCACCAGATTTTCCACACTAGTCTTCAATACTTTTTTAACTATTTCACCCGGTATGATTGTTTCGGCAACAATAGATTTACCACGTCCCTCAATCCAATTAATAGCAGCTGGTTTTTTATCAGTACAATAATTGCCGGATAAAGAAACTATTTGCATATCAGGAAAGTAGTCCAACATTGTTGATAAAGATTTCTCGCAACCCTTCGATATCATATTCATTCCCATTGCATCACCTGTTGTGGTTGAGAATCTGATGAACATCAGTTTTCCTGATAGCGTGGATTTGAGTTTTTGTAATCGGGCAAACCTTGAAGTTGAATCAAATACCTTCTTGACAATCTCACTACCCTCACCTTCCAACCAGGTTTTAGCCTCGTTCGCTCGGACAATATTAGGAAATTCCACACATGGACCTCTTGTCATACCATCATGTGTCAATACAGTTGTAACGCCACTACCCATATTTATTGCCTTGCAACCTCTTGAAGTAGAAGCTACCAGGCAACCTTCAGTTGTAGCCATTGGTATATGAATCAATTCATTGTCAACATTCAATGGACCAGCTACACCAACAGGTATTGGGATATAACCTATTACATTTTCACAACAAGCACCCAAAACTTTACCGTAATCATAGTTTGATATTGGTAACAAAGAATTTTCCAAAGTTTTGGTTATTGATGATCTGGAGATAAGAGCTCGACGTATTTTCACTGCTCTTTCCAAGTTATCTGCTGAAATTTTCTCCAATGAATATGAAGGTATCTTGCCGGCATTCAATAGCGATAGTATTTCCTCATCATTTAATGATGATGAACCTTGTTCTTTTAATATCGTTTCACATTCCTCAATTGATTGAATATTTTTTGTGGCGGAATCAGTAGTTATTGTGGTGGTATCTGTTACGGTAGTATGTGTTGATGTTTTTGATTCATCATTTACTATTATTGATTTTGATTCATCTTGATTTTTAACAATATTGTTGTTGTTGTTGTTGTTCTTATCACTATTATTATCATTATCATTATCATTATTAGTAATATTCTTATTATCCGGATTATTATTATTATTACTATTATCGGTATCTTTAACACCTGATTTGTTTTTATTTTTCAGTTCACTATCTAGTTTCTCTTCTTCGTAGTGTTCATCACAATGATTTTCATGATTTTTGTTTGCATCACTTTTAGGCTGCTTATGTGAATTTAACAAGTAAACGTTTAACACAAGTGAAAACACCAAACCTACGCTAATCCATTTGGATAATACAGGATCTTGTACAAATAAGGACCAAAAATTCATCAACGCATCAAAACTATTATAAAAAAGTTTAATAACGTTGAAACTGTGATCATAATCAGAATCGATGCCGCTACCGTAGTGATTGGCCCAAATGGATTTAGAGTTGGAAGAATCTAAAACTTTAAAGGTTAAAGGTGAGGTGACGTGAACCAATAATGGTAGATTTAAATTGCTTGAAGATTGAAGAGGTTGATGTTGATTTAGTAATGAAGTGAGTGGTAATTGAAGTGGCGGAGAGTTAAGATCGAATTCGGAAGAAGGAGGAGATGATGATGAGTCAAGTTCAGAAAAAGGTAAAGATGATAATGTTGGTGTGGTGGTGGTATTAATTGGTGTCATAGAAACATCATTGTTTGAATGTAAAGTTGTACAGAAATTTAAAACATGCATTATAACAAATCCAACAATCTATGATGATTTTTTTTAAAATTATAATATGTTAATAAAAAAATTACAAATCAATAAATAAATGAATATATTAATAATCACATACAATCAATAATTTAACTCTAGCAATCGTTGGATTATCATACTTTTTGGCTTCTTCAGTTTCTACAGTGTTATCACGGAATGCTTTAATAATGCTTTGTCTGATGCTTGATGGACTACTGGTGATTACATCTCTTTCTGTAGATTTTTTTAATACTTTGGCTTCTCTGATCCTTTTCAACTATATCAAAAAAATCGGATATTAGTATATTTAAAATTATAAAGTAAATTATTATATATATATATAAATTATTACCTCAAGTTTAAGGGTTAACATCGCAGTATAAAAAGTGAACAAGAATAAACAATCATACAAAAGAATGAAAGCACCCAAAAAACAAAATTCTTGTAATCCTGATACACCAGACATTGCGCCAAAGAATAATACAACGATTTCAACAAAATAATCTCTGACTATATTTGGACCTTCTTTGGTTACACCAGCTATTACACTATCACGAACATTGAATGGAATTATATCAGATAGCTTTTCTTCGATTGAAATTAGAGATGATGAAGTGGAGGAAGACGGTGATGAAGTGAGTACAGCTTTCGTTAAAGCGAATGGTTTTTCAAATCCCACTGTTATTATTAAAAATGGAATTGCTTCGCTATGATTTTTTTAGATATTTTAAAAGTTTGAGGAATAAAAAAAAAGGATGGTTATTTACTATATGATGTATGTGGTGTATATGTATTAAAATATTTTATTGACTTGTTTATTTACCTGAGTAAAATCGGATTAACAAAGGCGCCAAATAAATTAATTGTTAATAAAGCCAACATGAATGCAAAGAAACCATTAGATATAACACATAATGCTATTCAACATAAAAATGATAATAATGATTATTATCGGTCACGTGACTTTTAAAAACCTCGAAAAAAATTAATAGATCAATCAATAAACATACCCAAAGCAATTTTAGAACCAATTTTTCTCATATTAAGGAATAAAGATAAGAAAGTAAGAAACATTAATATGTAACCGGCTAATATTACCATAATATCTATGGTTTCGGCATTCTAATATTATCATATGGTATAAAATAATAAAATAAAGAATTACATTAATAAAGTGAACAATAATAATAGCCTTATTATTGCCAGCATTTTTGTTACCTGAATTAAATCACGAATTTTAATAATTAATTTGCCAATTACAAAAGCCATCCAAGTAATTGATCCTTTTTCGAGCTTTTTTTTTTTGTTGTTGTTGTTGTTGTTGGTCTTTTTGTTGTTATTATTATTATGATAATAATCGTTCGAAATAAATTCATTGAATTGTAAAGAATTTATCTTGTCCAACCATAATTTAATAAGATAATTATAATGGTTATTATTATTGTCAAACATGAATGTTAGAATAATCGACAAATTTCCATCTTTATTCTCTATAAATTCCAAATTATCATCATCTGTAGTTAAACATTTTGATTCATAGGTTTCCGAACGAATTTTATAACATAGATTATTATAATATAAATTGTTGATTCCATCAGTTGAAATGAAAATTTCTTTTTCAATTTTATTTTTGAATTCTTTTACAGAATTCAAGAAGCTTTCTTTTTCATCATCATCATTATTCTCATCGTTCTCGCTATTATTATTACTATTTTTGTAATCATTGAAAATTTTTTTAGTGTTGATAACAATTTGAGTTAGTTGAATATTTTCGACGTCTTTGTAATCGATTTTTTCATTTAATCTAATAAATTTATTTGTATTTGGAAAAGAAATTATCTTTAAATTATCTTTAACATGATGATTTAAGGAAGAGGTGGAAATAGAAGGAGTGGAAGAAGAAGAGAGATCATTCAATAAATCGGATTCTATTAAAGATTGAAATAAAGATGCGTAAGAAAAAGATGCAATTATCAAACAAAATACAATCATCTCAATTGGATTTTTTGATGATTGTTTCGATGCATAACGTAAAAGTTTTTTTGCTATTGAAGATATCATTTTTTTTTTTTTATTGGATTATAATTAATTAATTAATTGGTTAATTTAAATTCATAAAGTTTAACGCGTTTTATTTGCTTGAAAATTTTTTTATAATAGTCAAGGATTGTTTATACAGTAACGAAAGGAAAAAAAAAATACAAAAATTTTTTAAAAAAAAAAATTTTTATACACAATTTATATATTAATTTGAAATACAAGATTGTATCACACAAAAAATATTGTTAATAAAAAATATTGTTTCTAAAACTTGAACATAGCCATTTTAGAACGCATATAATGCAAGCAAATTATCTCAAATTATAATAAAAAACCATGAGACAAATATTATTTTGGTTTTTCGGGGAATGACATGCAGTAGATTCAGATATGCGTATGATATAACGTGAATAATAACAGGTTTCTGATAGTTTGTATGCGTGCGTGTAAATTATTTATCAATACACTATTATATGAATTTAGTGCAACATTGTCATAAATTATAACAATATTTAATATTACCCATTTTTCATCCATAGAATAAATACATTGGATGAATTTAATTAATCATGGATAGAAAGAAAATAAATTAAATATTTTTCTAAATATAGCGTTATAAGTAGTTGTGTTTAAAAGGTTTTATCTTAACTCCCAATCAGGACAAAACCGACCTCAAGGGATTCTTTGACTCTGTTACTGGCAACAAAAAATATTTAAATATTGTGTGAAACTGAACCATAAAATGATTATAGTTTCTGTGAAACAATGAATAAAGATACGTTTCACGATTGTTTACAAATAACATCAGCGTTATCAACTTAAAATTTTAAGTTGGGTGGTGCATTGAAAAGCGATTAATTCTTTTTTTATTTTTCTAATAGATAAAACCCCAGAATTTTTTGAGAAAATTAATAATACCTTTGATGACAATTGTTATTTTCGTAATACTTAAATATAAAATTGCTAATTCTGATATTTCCTAATTAAAATTAGATTTCGACAAAATTAGTTTCACCTTTTTTGGTTGTAATTTCCACAAATTTGCCATTTGGCACTGATTCATTTTGATTTGACCAATCATACAATTTCCTAACAATAAAATCATTTACTAATGGTTGTAATAACAATACTAATAATACTATTATTACTTACTTGGCTATAACATCTAAAGGTGTAAAATTAGAAATATCAGCGTTGCTCATACTTTGACGATTTGCTGGCGTATCAATTGTTGTTCTAGAATTAATTTACAATGAAAGTTGGTCATCAACAATATTGGTTTTAATTTTACAAATTTTCTCTTTGTTCTTTCCAACTTACGGTAAAATCCCAACAACTTTTGAATTGTTAGGCATGCCACTTCCTTCAGCTGACAAGCTAAGTATTAGATGATGCACTGTTGCTTTTGAAGCACCATATCCAATAAAAGCTGATTTTTATTTTCCCAAAAAATATTTATTAAAAAAAGGATTTTTTTTCTGGGAGGGGTGAATCAATATTAATGATTGATTGATACCAACCAGGTGTTCCATATAATCTTGGATAAGATGCACCAGTCAATAATAAAAGACCTCCACTAATTATTATTCATGAAAGGTGATATATTAATAAAATGACATGTGAATAATAAATCTTCAGAACAAAAATAAATAAAATAAAACGATCAATACTCTTTAAGATGTTTTGCTGCCAACTGTGAAGCAACTAATGAAGAATAAACTGATTTTCTTAACATTAGATCTGAATTCTTTAAAAAATCTAAAACATTATTTTTAATAATAATAATAATAAATGATTATTATTATTATATATTCATTCACTCTCTCACCCACCAATTTGTTCATCGCCACCCTACACTTATCCCAATCACACTCACAAACAATTACCTTTATCTGCAGCATTCCCCATCAAAAAACCACCAGCAACACATAAAATTGCATTGTATTTATTTCCTTCGCCACCAGTTGATTTTAATATTTCAGTGGCTTGTCTCAATACCTTATCTCCTTGTACTTCTAAAGTATCACCAATTGACACAATGATATTATGATTTGCTTCTGAATTATCTAATGTGCCAACAGAAGTAACCTCCTATTTAAATTTATCATTATAATTAAAGATTTGATCCACATGTGTATTGTCAGCTTTTCTCCCCATTTCAATCATGATAATTACCCAGTTATTTTTCTTAAAGTGCTTAACTAAAGCTGTACCTAAACTTCCAGTACCTCCAAATACTATTACTTTGGGAAGCATGTTTTATTAAAAATGGATCGTTTTCGAACACAACACAAACGTGAGAATTTTAAACCAATTTTGGTGGTACAATGTGTTACATTGACCTCGATGACAAACATTGTGGTGGTTGCATTGATTGCAGGAAGGGGTTGAACAGTGAAAGATGAAAGAGTTATAAATAAATAAATAAATAAATAAAGAGAATGTTTCTTCCTTTTTTGATTAATAAACGGTTGTTAATGTTTAAAAAGATTAATTATTGTTGGTCATTTCTGATCTTAGAAAGGCAGGCGAAATGGGCATAATTAATCATTGTGATTAAAAGGCGTACAATTTCTTCTAGCAAAACTATGATTTTATGGTCATGTGACGAATTCACGCGAACAAATGTATAATTCTACTCCTAATTGTTTTGAGATATTCTGCAAAAAGTTTGTAATAAAAGATGCTAAAAACTTTACGAGAGAGACTCAAGAGTTTCTAAAGTGAACCGTAAAACTATTACTGAAGAAGATACGTATCTTGATCCAATACTAATTAATCGTTGTTGAATGAAACGAGGTTGGCCTATGACAATGCCAGGTTCAGAAATCTAACGTAAAGCGCAGAACTTAAATACTCTTTCTTACTGAAATTATCTCGAGTTAACAGTATGTTTGAAAACATATGTTCTCTCTGTATTATTTCCTAACTTTATTTTTTTTTGGATCAGTGATTCAAGGACTTTTAATGCCATTCAACCATTCTCCCAACAAATCTGAATCTATCTTTTACATTGTTGCCACTCACTCTCATGGAGTATATGCAAATTGCTGTTGATATTATCACCAAGTATATTGGGAAGAGTTTTGTAGTAAGTATTTATTTGAAGTTGTGGATTTTTCTGATTTATTTGAGTTTTAAAGCAATGTATACTAATTAAAATAATGGTTTAACAAACTTTATTATTATATTCCTATTTTGAAAATATGTTTCTGATGTTTGTGGGTTGGGCCAATGTTGGAAAATACGTCCAATGTGCCCAAACATCCAATCAGTTTTTTTATTGGACCTTGCGCAACAAATTCACATCGGCATATTGGACAGCCCAATATGCCAACATTCTTAATATTAACAAGTATGTATCTGCACTGATGTTTTCGTCACATCTAACACAAACTTTGGTTTTATGAATTTCAAAACCTGGCGCATTAAAAAACAAGGAATCAAGCACAATTCATTATGTGGTAACAATGAATTTTTTGTCGTGGATGTCCTTTAACGTATTTGAAAGAATTGAAATGCATAATTGACTCTTTATTAACATGCATGACTCTATGGCCAGGGCAAAGAAATTTTATTTTAGTCCGGAAATCCTGCTTATTTTTGATAATAAATCGGCGGCCATAATTAATATGCACTATTTTAAAGTTTTTTCCTAAAAATTAAATTTAATAATAATGTTCATAGTTAAAACTCCAAAAGAAGTTCCAACGTTAGGATCCAGTGTTGCAAAATCACAGGGCAATATTAAGAAACATATCGAGAAAGACATTTTGGGTCCAGGAGGTAGTTATTTGGAACAAAAAAAAACTATATATATAATAAATATTATCAACGAAATAAATAATTACCAAAAATTTTTTTTTTAAAATGTATTTTTTGCACTAGTTAAAATACTTGATCGTAAAGATTATCAAAGTTTTGCGCCAACTTATGATTCAAGTGACTCGGTCTTTTCATTTGAAAATACAATGCTGGTGGAATCTTTTAGGAATTATCTTGGTCAAAATATTGATGATGATGAAGTTGACGTTGATGTTTATGATGAAATAGGTGAAGATATAATTATGAATGAAGATAATGATGAAAATCAAAATGATGACGATGTCGATGTTGATGATGTTGATGACGTTAATGTTGATGTTGATGTTGATGAAAATAATAATGATGATGTTGATGATGATGAAAAATTCAAGAAAGCATTAGAATCAAAATCAGATGATCAAGTCATTACACTGCCAAATAATAATGATGATGATGATGATGATGATGATGATGACGAGACAAGCGTTGAAGATCATGAAGAAGAAGACTTTGAAGAAGAGTTTGATAAATTATTGGATGAAAATTCAAAATTACATGCTCGTTTGATAAGTTTACAAAAAGAAAGATTTCTAAAGAATCCCAATGAAATATCCGATATTGAAATTGAAATTGGTAATATATAAATAAAATATTATAAATTTGATTTTTATTTATCAAGTGGTTTATGTAAATATATATTTATCTATTCCTTTTTTTTGGGAAAGAACAAAAATTACGCGGTAACTTGGTTAAATTATTTGGTAAAGTATCGCCGAATGATCTATTAACGCCTTTCAGTATTGAAAAAACCATGAATTCATTGACAACATGTGAACCATTGGTTAAAGGAAAATTTCCACCAAATTCATATCCAATTAAAGCGTTTCCAACACAAGTTTCTAAAGAAATGGTATCAACGACTCATCCATACAATAATAATCAGAAACAGCAACAAACTTCTTCTCAACGATATCATCATAACCTTCGATCTGCTAGTAGAAAAATGACCAACACAACTGCTTCTTCTAATATCGGATATTATCAACAACAGCAGCAACAGCAACAACAACAAAAACAACAATATCAGCAACAACAATACTCGTCCAACTATAATACATACTCAAATAATAATAACAATTATTATTATCCTAATAATTACTGACCGACTGTTTTGTTTCTTAAAACATTTCTTAATTTGTAAATACTCTTTCTTATATTTAGAAAACATTGTTAGAATACATTTATTTCTTTTCCAATTAAGCAATATAATTGCAGTAATAATAACATGATTAAAGTAATAAATAAATACAAATTTTTTTCAAAAGAAAATCTGCCTAAAGATCTTCACTGTAAATTATTAGATTTTCTTTTCACCATTCTCTTTTCATCCAGAAAACTATTTCCCCTTCTGCCACTCTAGATTCTTTATCCCTAATTCAACAGCACAATGTCCCCAATCAATTCCGTGATTATGACTATCAGTACTGGATCCTAGCCCAGCTCTTTCTAAAGCTTGCTCGTCTGTTAAACAAGTAAGCACACCAAAAACACAAGGTACTCCGGTATCTAATCCAACTCTCATTATTCCATGACTAACTGCATCAGCAATATATTCAAAATGCATAGTTGATCCTTTGATTAACACTCCAATACAAATGACTGCATCATACTTTACATTACTGCGTCCAGAAATAATGTTTTTGGCAGCAATAGGTAATTCATATGATCCAGAAACAGATTCAGTTATGATATTTTGTCTAGATACATTATATTGTGAAGTCATGGTTTCAATTGCTCCATTAACTAATGCCTCCACTATTTTATAATTCCACCGAGTGTGTACAATTAAAATTTTTAATTCTCTACCATCATATTTTTCATTTGTAAGGGTAACACCCTTAGTAAAATTTTCCATTTCTTGAATGCAATATTATTTGTGTGGAAATATTAATAATACTGTACAACAATAGAAACAATGAAATAAAGATCATCTTAATTAATATGTAAATCGTCAATTATTTATATAACTATTATTTCAATATAAACAATCAAATGTCAAATTCCATTTATTGAATTCCTTGTGAAAGCAAAAAAGTCCTTGGAAATGAGTGTTTGTGAGTCCGAATGAATGAAATTGATTAATAAATTGTGTATTTTATAATCAAAAATATTGAAAACAGCGAGATTGGATTTAATTATTATTATTAGTCGCATGACATTGTCGCTTTCAGGTCGTTCATGAAAAAATGAAAAAGAAAATCTTTAATGTAATGCCATTTTTGAATAGCCATGGCTTTACATAAAGAGCTCCTTTTGATATAAAAAAATATTCACTAGAAAGCTTTAATGGTGATAATTTTATTTTGTTTTAATAACGAAAACAATGAGTCACTTTAAAAAAGACTGTTACACGGGTCTATTTTTTATTTTTTACACCAATGTTGTGACCCTAAACCAACACCAAACCATAAATCCATATCCGAAACCTAAACCTTACCAAAACTTAAATCCATATCCAAAACCTAACTACCCTCAAAATTCAATTTATATTTCTATTTGTGTTCAGGGCAATGAAAGTAATAGTGAATCCATTGATACAGAATCAGATATTGATCTTGACAATTACGAATACTATGATAACCATAATAGAGATATTGATTTTCTAATAGTAGACTACCTAGATTTAAATAATTCTTTATTTAATTATAAAGGTAGTAACGAAAATGAAATTGATATAAGTGTAGAGAATTTACAACATAATAAAAATTATGAATATAACCCCCAATGATTTGGTTTCCAGTTTTTTTGAAGTGGTATGTGAAAACGGTATTAATACTGCAAAAAGAAAAAAAATAATTAATTATAAATGTGATACTGATGAGGAAGATTAGGATTATGATTCATATAATTTAGGTTTTAATAATGAAGACAGAAATTGCAATGAAAATAATAATGATGATGAAATTCAAAGTTCTGAAGAAATTAATGATGGCGGGGAAAAAATTAGTAATATTAATAGAATGGGGGTTGAAAATAACATTGATTTTATATGGAAGGTAATGATGAAATTTCAGATAATGATGATGATATTGAAATAAATGAAGATAAAAAAAAAAAATCTAAAAATACACCAAAGAAAAAATTTACATTAAGGAAAAGAATTAAAAAAGAATTTTAAAATTTTAAATTCATCTAAGAAAATTCTTGTAATAAAATCAATTGGTAATATTTTGCAATAAAAACAAATTATTGTAAAAAATAGTTTTGTGTTTTGGTATAAAATTAGTTTCAGTAAGAGTTTGGTAAAATTTAGGTTTCGGGTTAGGGTTTAGGTTTTGGTGATTTTTTGTGTTTCGGTATAAAATTATTTTAAGTGTAGGTTTACGTTTTAAAAATTCCCTAAACAAATTTTAGGGAGGTTTCGGTTTCAGGTTTTCCCTAAACTCAGAGTTTAGGGTCATAGCGCGATAAAATTTAAATAAAATTTATACCTTTTCTCATATGAAGCACATTTTACTTTTGTTAAAGTTTTGTAATTTTGAACTGATTTCAAAGTTTCATAATGATTTTGGAGTTTAAAAAACAGTTTCAGAATTTCAAGTTGGAATAATTCTTGTTCGAATAGAAACTCTTTTTTTCGATATTCTTAAAAAAAAAAAAAAAGTTTTTTTAACATTTGTTCATAAAACAAAAGAGCTGGTTTATCTCACGGAGACTAACTCCCGTGATGAAAAAAGGTTTATTTTACATAAAAGTCTTTTTTTGCTTATGATAAAAAATTACAATTTACCCTTTTGCACCCTTTCTTAAAACAAAAGGTTCCCAAACAAGCATTTCAACCTATTTTAATTAATGCAAGCTCGCTCCTTTCACAAAAAATTCTCGAGGCTTCGATTTCTACTTTACCAGTTGATTATATTTCTCAAAGTATTTCAAACACCATTTCCTCAAAATTGGGTTACATAATATAATTATAATTATTGCGAAATTTCCAAAATAATAAAGTTTAAAATTAATAATAAATAATAAAGTATAAAATTAATAATAATAATAAAGTTTAAAATTAATAATATCACAATGAAAAATCACGGACGACCGTTAGTAAACGTGGAATAAAAATATTATTTTATAATTTGAGACATTTTCCCCGCTAAATCACTATTCATATAAATATGCTTACTCTTTTCTCTTCTCATAAATCAATTCATACTCATCGATTCATTCTTATTAATACTCGTTAATATTCATCTCACTTCAACATTTCCCATAACATACAATAATCATCCTTAAACAAAATGATTGCTTCCAAAATTTATTCAGTTGCCACTACATTATATTTGGTTTCATTGTTGTTTTCGGCTGTTTTAGTCGTCTCTGCTAAAATCGAGTGTACTAAAAGTGCTTCAAGTGAAGAATCCAACATAAATAAAGAAGAATTTATAGTCTTGCTTGAACCTAAAAAAGGAACCGAAAATACGGCAATTCTTAAACAACATTTAGATTTTTTTAAAGATTGCTTGGGCATGGATTCTCAACCATTCCTAGATCAAAGCAATGGGAAAATTACAACAAAAAAACTTTCACCAAATACAGTATTGCATTTTTCTGTCAGCACCCTTTTTGGTTTTTTTGGTTCTTTTAATCCTCAATTAGTTGAACAACAAATTAAATTATTCCCTAACATTAAATCAGTCGAAAAGGTATCAAAAGTTAAAGCCATCGCTCCTATACAAAATAATGGTGGTAGTACAACCGTTAGTACTTCATTTTATGACTTGGATCGTATAGATCAAAGAGGTATTAAGTTAGATGGAAAGTACACTTTTCCTACTCCAGCTGGTAAAGGTGTAAATGTCTATGTGATTGACACTGGTATAAATCCAAATGTAGCAGAATTCGATGATCGTGTTAGATTTGGTGGTTCTTTTTGTACTGAATGTTCTGAAGTGGATGATAACGGTCATGGCTCAGCAGTTGCAAGTGTTATTGGTGGTAAAAATTTTGGTGTAGCGAAAAAAGTAAATCTTATAGCTGTCAAAGTACTTAATGCGGTAGGGGAAGGAACTAGTGACGGAATTATTGCCGGTTTATTATTTGTATTAATTGAACATTTAGCAAACAAGAACAAAAAGACAGTTGTTAATATGTCATTGGGTGGCGCAATTTCTAAAATAGAAAACGAAGTAGTACGAGTTCTCACAGATAATGGTATACATGTTATCGTGGCTGCCGGAAATGAGTCAAGTGATGCTTGTAAGGTCTCACCTGCAAGTGCACCATCAGCAATTACAGTGTGCGCAACTGAAAAGACAAGTGATTCAATTACTGATTTCTCAAATTTTGGACCTTGCGTTGACATTTGTGCTCCCGGTAGAGATGTTCCTTCACTTTTTCTTGGCACCACACCTGAGGAATTATCTGGTACAAGCCTCTCATCTCCGCTAGTTGCGGGTGCTGTTGCTTTAAAAATCAGTGCTTTTGGTAATCTTAGTCCTTCAAAAATGGCCGCTAGATTATTTTCTGATAGTACCAAAAATATTATTACAGGATTACCAGCTGGCACACCAAATAGATTTTTATTTGTTTCTCAAAAAAGATGATTAATTGTTATTTTAGAAAACTGAGTTTTTTTTTTATTTTAAATAAAAATTCCCGACCTTTGCAATTTTTTTAGTCCATGCGCTCCTACTTTATTTTGGAAATTAATGATTTTTTTTTATATATATTTACCAAATAACGAATAACTAATACTAAACTGAGTATTAAAAATATTTGTTTCATATACACTAATTAAATTTTCATTTTGCCAGCTAATTCTCTTCGCCCCAAAAATTGGTTATCTACTCATCTCATTCGTTCTTTCTGTTATGATATATGGTGTATAATAAATAATAATTATAGACACAAAATGATTTAATTTCTTCTGAATTTTATCACATTATCTTTAATTTTGTTTTCTGGAGTTTTAGTTAATGTAAAACAAGAAAAATAATTAAAGAACTGCTACTAATGTTTCAGGAAACTCAACAACTATTGAATACTATCATTTAAATATTTGAAAGAGTGCCTAGATATAGATGTATTCTAAATCAGTTTTATATGATAGTAAGTAAGCTTCGCCTAAAAATTTTCCTTTGAAAAATATAGCATTGCATTTTTATGTTGTCACTCTTAGTTTTTGGTTATTTAATGTACAACTTGTTAAAAAACAAGACAAAACATTACCTAATATTTAAATAGTTGAATAGGTATTATAAGAAGTTCTTTTACATAAAAAACATAAAGCTGTTCAAGATGCGCCACTTAATTTCGATCATATAAATTTACCTTTAAAATGGAAGAAAACCGATTTCCTAATTCAGCTGAATAAAATTGTCATTTATATTGTAAAGTTACTTTTAAATGGGCCAAACTTACTCCTTACATTATATATCAAGACACCTTTAAATTTACATTTCACAAGGTTCAACGATTGTACATTTATTTTCATTACACTTTTTGGTAGAGGTGCAGATGTCTGACCCTATGCAAAGTTTGCACACTTAAAACATACTTATTATACCACTAAAATACGCTTCATTTAAGTAGAATTTAATTAATGTTTGAGCATGGAATAAGTATGTTTTAAACATATTTCAAGTGTAATTTAAGCACATTTTGACTATTATGGAAGACACTTAAAACATTCTCGTTTCTTGCATGATTTTCTACTTAGTTTCCATTTATTTTCTACTTATTTATTTCATTTATACTTGAACTGTGATTAAATTATACTTAAATTACACTTAAACTACACTTGATTTATACTTGATTTATTCTTAAAATAAATATATAGAAAATATATTGTTTATTTAATTAAATAGATATTTTATTTATTTTTTTTTAAATACAAATAAATTTATAAATAGCAATAATAATGATGATAATAATAATAAATAACTAATTTTTTTCTTTATTTGTTGTGTGAAAATAATCCATTGTTTAACTATGAATCCATTTTTGAATAAAATTTATTAATAATAATACTAACTGCATTATGCTTTGATGATCATGTGTAACTAATAGTAAATCCCATTTTGAAGAAAAGAAATATTAATACAATGTTAAGATTATTAATAATAATATATTATTACTTACTACGCGTAACAATAACCATAATAGTGAACCTCGTTAATACAATAAGTAATATATTATTACTTACCATTACCTTGATGGTCGCGTGAATAATCATAACAATAAACCATAAACCCGTTAATGTTATATGGTTGGCTCGGTCTAAAGACCTCCTATTTCTGCGCCACGTGGCCAAATTTCAAAAATAGCAATTTTGTAAT